TGTTGTGTTTTATGGGTTTAACAGTGTTGTGGGTTTAACAGTGTTGTGTTTTATGGGTTTAACAGTGTTGTGGGTTTAACAGTGTCTGTACCTTCTTTCTTGATGGCACGTTTTTGGATGTCTGCAACCCCTTAATTAAGTTAACGAAAGCTGGGCTTTCCACTTTACTCAAAGGCTGCAGGTCTCCGACAATATACTGCACCACCAGGTTGTCCAGCTGTGGCTGGGAGATGCCAACGGAGCCGCTACTGTAGGCAGTTATCGGGATCTGGGTTGATTGATGGGTGGATCTGTCTTTGGTTTTTGTCGTTGATTGTACTTTAATTCAATATGCCGTTTCAGGTTGCTTTGGATGATATTGATGTGCGGATTTTATTTTTAAAACCCGGCGGGCAAAGTTTGCACAAAAACGTGTGATTTTGCCCATCCTCACCGACCTTGTCATAAAACTCATTAAAAGTACAATTCGACGCCTCCTTGCTCCTATGTCGCTCATAGATACTTTTGGTTTTTATTTTAATGATGATGCGGGCGGTGCGACACAAGTGGTTGATGTTGCCAGATTGGGTGTTTTTTCTGATACATATTAATCTCTGTTGTTGCCGGGTTTGCGCAAAGAAGGCACTATAGAAATCTGGCATCATATTAAAAGAGGGTAAACTAAGAGAACGTGCCGTTCAAAGACACCAGAATGAACGAGTTCACAGGAACGTTCATCAGCCAGTGAAGCAACTTACGTTCAGTTCACGTTCGCCCAAAATATGAACGCGTTCATGAACTATCGTTCAATTAACGCGTTCAGGCACAACACTAGTGTTACTCAGGATATTGTTACATCTAAACCTAGCTTCTGTAATCTATAGTATGTGTTACTCAGGATATTGTTACATCTAAACCTAGCTTCTGTAATCTATAGTATGTGTTACTCAGGATATTGTTACAGCTAAACCTAGCTTCTGTAATATAAGGTATGTGTTACTCAGGATATTGTTACAGCTAAACCTAGCTTCTGTAATATATATAGTATGTGTTACTCAGGATATTGTTCCAGCTAAACCTAGCTTCTGTAATCTATAGTATGTGTTACTCAGGATATTGTTACATCTAAACCTAGCTTCTGTAATCTATAGTATGTGTTACTCAGGATATTGTTACATCTAAACCTAGCTTCTGTAATCTATAGTATGTGTTACTCAGGATATTGTTACAGCTAAACCTAGCTTCTGTAATATAAGTATGTGTTACTCAGGATAGTGTTACAGCTAAACCTAGCTTCTGTAATATATAGTATGTGTTACTCAGGATATTGTTACATCTAAACCTAGCTTCTGTAATCTATAGTATGTGTTACTCAGGATATTGTTACAGCTAAACCTAGCATTTGTAATCTATAGTATGTGTTACTCAGGATATTGTTACATCTAAACCTAGCTTCTGTAATCTATAGTATGTGTTACTCAGGATATTGTTACATCTAAACCTAGCTTCTGTAATCTATAGTATGTGTTACTCAGGATATTGTTAAAGCTAAACCTAGCTTCTGTAATATAAGGTATGTGTTACTCAGGATATTGTTACAGCTAAACCTAGCTTCTGTAATATATAGTATGTGTTACTCAGGATATTGTGACAGCTAAACGCATCTCCACATGGAGATGCTAGTTTAACTTTAGAGTACTATAAAGTGCAAAAGAGTCCAAATATTATGGTGCAATGTGCAAATGGAGTGGGTAAGAGTTCAAAGCTTGTGTAAAGCACAAGGAAAAAAACTGTTCTTATGTCGTGAGGTTTTGGTCCTGATGGACCGAAACCTTCTGCCGGAGGGGAGTGGATTGAATAGTGTCCGGGGTGAGAGGAGTCTGCCACAATCTTCCTATCTCGCCTCAGAGCCCTCGAGGTGTGCAGGTCCTTGAGACTAGGCAGATTGCAGCTGATCACCTTTTCAGCTGAGTGGATGATACACTGCAGTCTGCATAAAATATTTTATGCCAAGCATAAAATAAGGCACACCAATCAACCTCAACCACCGCGAGAAGAATGAGTTTCACTTACAGAGTTTACACTCATTAATGTGGAAGGCAATGGAAAACAACAGCGCTAAGTATTTGTGTCATTAACTATCATTAGGGTGGCCAATAGAACGCTCACCCAAGCTAACAACGCCGTCTCTAGATAGCATGTTACGCTGGAACGCTTGCGTGAGCCCATAGTACAATTATTTGAAAAGAACCTTCGCTAAGCCCCTTCGAACCTAACATTAAGCTAAGCTTTCCACTTCTGAATAATGGCACCAAAACAGGTGGGCTTTTTTATTTTGCTACAATTAGTTAATTTCCTGACGTAATCGAAAAATAACAGCCGTTGTTTGTAGTAAACATCTGGTTGTTTACGGTATCAATTGCACTTACATTTGCGTTAGGTGGAAGCAGTCCTATTTCTGACTATTTCTTATATAGTGTTTGATGACATGGAAGCCCGCTTAACTGTCTCAACTTATTAAAAAGCTGAGGTTTTGCTGAAAGAAATGATGCCCACATTGAAAAAATCATAAAATATACATTTTAATATATTTGCCTCACCATGTTCCTTCATAGGAAATGAATGAGCAGTGCTCAGAGTTCTAAAGAGAACCACGTTTTCTTGACTGGTGTGTACTGACCGCTGAATTGGGATGTACATTTTGAGATATTCGCCTCTTAAGACCGCCATCACTCTCATAGTTATAGGAAACCAATAAGAGTACCAATAGGTTCCTAGTGTGTTAAGGCAGCAAAGCCCGCTGGCCTGTTATATCCTATATAAAAGTGCAGGTTCTAAAAATGGTGCCCATCAGGGAGTTTTTCTTAGCCGCCGTGTATCGACTTATTTCATCTTGTTGATATGGTTGGTTTCAGCCTGGGTGTTAGTAAAAGCACTTGTGACAACTTTGTTCTAAAAAGGGCTTTATAAAATACATTTGATTGATCTCATTACTACCAACTGGAATGGGTCCAGAAACAATAATTTGATGCCAACACATCTTCCTTTCTAGCTAATTTACACACTGACGCTATGTTCTGCTTCGTAACCGGTGACTGTACCATCTTAATTTTGTTGGTGCCAACGTTGATTACCATATCTCTGCACTTGCTACACTTGCAAGTTTTAAATTTCGCTAGCACAAACTGCAGATTTGCGGCTTCGTCGGTGGCCCTGCCCCCCGGTAAACAGTGTATGGTCACCGGCTGATTCATTTCCATATAACTAACATAACCATATCCTAAAATGTGTGACGTAAGCAGAGTTTCGAACTTTTCTATCTTTTCAAGAAGGTGATAGTAAATTTATAGCTAGAAAAAAAGATACTTCTGACAAGAGCTATGTTTTGGACTGTGTAGGTTGTGATAATGTTTCTTTGTCTTGGTTATTCTGCTTTACATCCTCTTCCTGTTTCAGTTCCAGGGAAGGCTGCTGTTTCTCAGGTTGCCACCACCACTTTTAGAGCAGACATTCTGCCATCGTCCCTCTGTCCAGTTGATGAAGTCCTGCTGTTCTTCTTTATGGCTGGGAGATTGCTAGAGCTGTCTAATATGAAGAGGGAGGCATAATAAAAATATGTGCTATCTTACCTGCTATTAATAAAATTAGACTTATTAATCCCTTTTTACGTCGACATTTGTCCAAAATTATGCACAAATATGCCCATAGTTGCAATATAAATTTGAGTGTCATCTGCTGACAATATAAGAAGAAAAAGGTAAAGGCACCTGAAAAAATACATGAGACTAATCACAGGAATTGTTACAACTGGTAGTATTTTTCATTCTTGCCAAACATTACCTTGTCTTTAGATTTCTTATGTAGAAAAAAAAATACAGCAAAAAAAGAAGAAGGCCTGTTCCCATCACCGCAGCAACCACTGGGAAAACTGTGACAAGAAGAAACCAGTATTATTCACAGATTCAATAGGAGAAAGTCAATGTACTGGACAGAGATAAATTAAATTCAACAGAATAACAACATACTATAATTATGGATCCAAACATCATTGGTGATCGGAGGCAGAAAAGGACCTAGACCACAAAAATACAATTTAATCAGCATGACACATTCATGATTACTCAAATTAATTTATTAATCATAAAAACATTCTCACCTGTAAAAAAGGTAGAAATATTTCTGGAATCTTCCTTAATGACACCACCAGACATCGCCTCACACCTAACCGTGATGACATTGTCTGGTACACGGGGAACTGCCATCGTGGAGATTAAGCTGACAGTAACAGTTCCATTGGGATGGGTGACATTGAACGTAGTACAGTTTTCCAAAAAGTGTTTTGAGTCCTCCCAGGTCACTATTGGAGCAGGTCGTCCAGTAGCAGAGCAGGAAACAGTCACCTCAGAGGAGAGGGTGTGACTGTCATTGGTTTGTGTGACCAGGAGTGTGGGTCCATACAACTCTATAGAACAACAGCAAACATGATTCACAGTAAGTTGATATTGGAAGATATTTGGATGATTGATGCTATTATGTAACAAAGACAGTTCCTGTTTTAAATGAACCCAAATACATTACCATTAACTTGAAGACAGGTCCTTCCACTGACAGCTCCACCTGGGTAAGTATTAAACAGACACCTGTAGCAGCTCTCATCTTCTCTTAATACTCCTCTGTAGACTATAGAGCAGTTCTGCAGTCCCACCTTTAGAAACTCCACCTTCTCCTGGAAAGGTGAGTTCACTTTCACTCCAAAGCGTTGGTTGTATGTGGCCACATTCACATTCCCTTCTCGTGTCTCTTTTTGCCAGGTGACTTGCATGACATCTTTGGGTTGATTGAGTCTGCAGCTGAAGTGAGCATCTCCTCCCAGGGTTACCGTGACAACCTGCTGGGTTTCTACCAGCTGAGAGAGACCTGAGTGAAGACAGCAAGCCATTACTTTGTGTATTACAAACTGTCTCTCACACATATAAAACACACAGACACAAAAAGCCAGAACAAATTCACATTTACAATGGTGAGAAGCTGGGGATTGTAACCCAGGACATCAAACATACAAAGCAGGTACTCTACCACTGAGCAATCAACTCCTCTATTGAGTCAGAGAATCATAATAAAGAGAGTAATGATTTGAGTAATAACATTTCCAACAACTGGGACCAAATGAGTCGGATATCACGTTCTGGGAATTTATTTGAAAATGTACCAGATCAGCCAGCTCAAAACTGGTGTTCACAATCAAAACAAACCCATATGGAACCAATGCGTGTACAACACTAATAACACATCCACGAGTGTAATAAAATAAATTACCCGTGTTAGAATAGGCTGAAACTGTATAAAGCAAATAAAGGGTGGCACTAGAAAATAGTTGTTGCATAATACATTTCTTTAAAGACAACTATAATCTTCTGAATTTGAGGGAAAATACATGTAGTTAGTGTAGGTGTTAATTAAAATAATTTTGTAGTTAAAGTAGTAGTTGAAGTTCTCAACTATTGAGATGGAGAAATCAGCTTGCGATACCCGCTAAACATTTTAATTATTTCTTACATGTTTTTCATTAGGCTTCTTTAAAACCTGTTCAACACAGCCGTCCCACCGGCGGGATACTTGCATTACTCTATACAACCACTACAACCTCTACACAAAGGTTGCGAAATTACAAAACGGCCGTTTTATAATATACTACATGCTTATATTGTCCATAAAGGTTAGAATCTCGCCTTTCTAACAATGTTTTCCATTTTATAATAGCTAAAAAACAGACAGTTTTATTTTTAAACCATAGCAATAATATACAATAATATTGTACTTACATCAACCAAAGTCGATCGTTTTTCTTTTCCTATAGTCCCAGTGATATTATTTGCTTCGTTTATGACCCATAGTAATCCATAATAATCCATATTCGGTCGAGAATCAAAGTTTCCAACGTTCAAAAAGCACTATTTCACTTCAAAGTGTTTTTTTTCAGGAAGAGCTGATGTCAAAATCAAAGGTTAAGACCAGGGGCCTCATGTATAAAACTTTGCGTACGATTTGCGTCATTCGTATGGATAAAAATATTTGGATTTATAAAATATTCTGATAATAAATCACAAGGAACTCTAAATGAGGCACAGGTTCTGCTGCTTTATATCACGCCCATATTTGCCCATAAATAGTCAAAGAAACGCCCTAAATTAATATATATTGATTGAGATGTCATGACAAACTCGGAGGAAAACCGGAAAAGTAACTGTGAAGTAGCCTAGAAGTTTCCTGTTGGAGAGGTGGAAAAGAGGAGAAAATGTTTTTTTGTAGGGCACAGTGTGGGCATCTCTAATGCCAAAATGCTGATTTATTGGCACAATGTTGCTGATGCTGCGACACAAATTATTTGGACATTGATTGAATGAAAATGTTTTCGATATATGAAAGCATTTTTATTCTCACTCGGTGCACCGATTACATTTGGGAAAACGGACATTGCTGTTAATTACGCTTTTTGGTTTGCCTGTTCACCCGCAGTGAAACTTTATGTAATTATGAGACAAACATTATTCCTATACGAACACGTCTGACACAAAGTGCCAGTCGCAAGAAATCCTAGTGTTGTAAGGACTCCAGGTGGGACTGGCACAGAGTGGTTTCTCCGAGCGCTCCTTTGTAATGCTGGTCCCAAAAGAGCACAGAGGTCCAACAAGACAGCCCGAGGAAGTCGGAACCGACCTTTAAGCCACTCGTCCTCGTTTGCCAGCAAGTCTTCTTGTTGTCTGAATAAGTGTTCTCTGCGAATCTTTCTATTTGCCACATCTACTAACAGCGCAAGATCTGCCATTGTGCATTATGCATTGTGATGGCATGGCTTTTTATAACCATCCATTTGATAAGTCACAGGTGTCAGTTTTAATCTTTTATTATTATGTGTTACATTATCCTTTCCACAAAATTCAGACTGTTTTCTTTTAAATGCCCCTTACCAAATCTTCCTACATGGTTCTGTTCCAGAGCAATATATCTTTAGATTGGGGTGGGTCATTTTAGGCGGCAATTGAGATTTGGGGCCCTGTCAAGAACAGGTAAAGAACGACATGAAACTAGTTGGCTAACGTTTTTTTACCTGTGTTGTTTCCATTGCATCAGAATCAGTTATATTGGCGAAGCTCCGGTAAAACTTTTCTCTCAAAGTACAACACTCACTTTAGATCTAAATAAAATTTAAACAGAAAGGTAAATATAGGAAATATAAAAAATATTGTAAGAAATATAGATTGAACTAATATATATATATATATATATATATATATAGTGCAAGGTGGTTCAGTGCAATGATAATATATTAACAATGTTTTTGTAATTGTAGGATAAAATAAATGATATGGGCCAGATGAGTCGAGTTTTAAGACATTATTCAGATTAGACAAAATTATTCTTGATGATCGTGTTTGAATTTCTATTGAATACATCATGAGGAGTGTAATTAACATTTTAAGGATGTTTTTAAGCAAACCCATGGTGATGCTCCATTTAAGCACATTAATAAACGTAGTCATTTCTAATTAATCAAAGACATAATAAATCATCAGCTGTAAATGACTATTAAAAACATCCATGCAGAAATTCAATTTATTAAAAATATCTAAATCTCAAAATGTTTGAAATTGGCCAATTAAATATATTTATAAAAATATGTAATACATTAAATATATATCTACATTTGTAGAGATTCTGTTATCCTTAATACATGTTTGTGGCCAATTTCAAACATTGTGAAATATAATTTCCCAAATATATATTAAACTACAATTCGATGTATTAGATATTATATATTTTCTTTCTGTATGGGCAGACACACACCACACGATTCTATTCATCTTCAGCTTATGACTGAAGTTACACAAATCTACATAGCTAATGCTATAGCACAATATAATTAGTCAAACTTTACAGTTATACAATGCATTAGGCTACACTACAGTATGCATGTACCTACATGCATTTCACAACATTACATTTATGTATCTGTATAAATATTAACAAAGTCTTATATTGCCTATATTCAATTTGGATAAATCCTTTATCATACTTAAAAGTACCATTCAAGCAATATTGTGTACATTTAGATAATATTGACCAATGCAGTATAACATCATTTACTTGATTACCTTTAGGAATGATTACAAGTAGAAAAAGCATTGGTATTAGTCTGTACCGTATAGCAGTCGTACAGCACCATGCAGCAGCCATAACCACAATAAAACCGTTACTTCCTCAACTGTCATTCACAAAAAAACATGTCTATAGGTTTCTGGGGTTCATTGATCACGTGTTCATGTTAGTCAAATCATTAGGATTTTGCTAAATTCATTTTGGTACTAATTTCACAACCTTGATGTCATTTTTCAAAACTCTATTGTACATACTTTGCACTTTGCACTTGCAGAATCAATGGTTCAAATGAGTCATTTATCATGAAATACCACAGGAGCATTATTTTACATCACCCACACACTAGATACTGATAGTTTCACTGTGTAGGCTAGTTGGTTGTTCTTAAAAATATGTGATATGTTTCATTTTGGAATGTCATGTCAATTACAGTGAAAAAACTAGTAGAAGGAGTACTACATTCCTAAACTTACTCAGTCCTCAGTTGCTTCATTCTGTCTGTATTTCTTTCTAATGGGACACAGTATAGCTGTTTAGAGACTACATTGTCCACGATGTGCAACCGAAATTCTGTAAAGCGAACATCATTGCCTCTGCCTCCCATATTAGGCCTATTTTAAAGGGAACATTCCAGTAAGAACACTGAAACTGTTACAATTTAGTAAGGTTTGGTTTGTTTTAACCAATTGCCCAATGCAGAGTTATTGAAATCACATTTAATATTGTTTTGTTTTATTTTAGTTATTGTAAAGTGCCTTTGTTTTAAAGTCTCTGCCCAAAGCCTATTGGGAAGCTAATGAGCGCGAGACTATACAAGATGGTAGACGTTAGACTGCGAAAGCCATCACCTAAAGATGTTGGGACAATGTAACCGTCAATCTAAAAGAGTTTATTGAGAGGACTGTATTTATTTAAGAAGATTTTTCATTTCCTTGTACAGCATGCAGCTGTAACCAGGTTGAAATTGTATGTTTATTTGTACGGTTGAAATATCACCAAATCCAGATAAATATTGTTTTTTATATGTTTGAGATTTGTTTCATTGTCTCTCTCATCTCATCTCATCTTCAACCGCTTATCCGGGGTCGGGTCGCGGGGGTAGCAGCTCTAGCAGGGGACCCCAAACTTCCCTTTCCCGGGCAACATTAGCCAGCTCTGACTGGGGAATCCCGAGGCGTTCCCAGGCCAGTGTGGAGATATAATCTCTCCACCTAGTCCTGGGTCTTCCCCGAGGTCTCCTCCCAGCTGGACGTGCCTGGAACACCTCTCTAGGGAGGCGCCCAGGTGGCATTCTTACAAGATGCCCGAACCACCTCAACTGGCTCCTTTCTATGCAAAGGAGCAGCGGCTCTACTCCGAGTTCCTCTCGGATGACTGAGCTTCTCACCCTATCCCTAAGGGAGAGGCCAGCCACCTTTCTGAGAAAACCCATTTCGGCCGCTTGTACCCGCGATCTCGTTCTTTCGGTCATGACCCAGCTTTCATGACCATAGGTGAGGGTAGGAACAAAGATTGACCGGTAGATCGAGAGCTTTGCCTTTCGGCTCAGCTCTCTTTTCGTCACAACGGTGTGGTGAAGCGAATGCAACACCGCCCCCGCTGCTCCGATCCTCCGACCAAACTCCCGCTCCATTGTTCCCTCACTCGCGAACAGGACCCCGAGGTACTTGAACTCCTTCACTTGGAGTAAGGACTCATTCCCTACCCGGAGTAGGCACTCCACCGGTTTCCTGCTGAGAGTCATGGCCTCAGATTTAGAGGTGCTAACCCTCATCCCAGCCGCTTCACACTCGGCTGCCACCCGATCCAGTGAGTGCTGAAGGTCACCGACCGATGAGGCCATCAGGACCACATCATCCGCAAAAAGCAGTGATGTGACCATCAGCCCACCGAACGGAACCCCTCCCCCATGACTACGCCTTGATATCCTGTCCATGAA